CTTATTCTTATTTTTATTAATTATGAGACTTGTTATGTTGTCTTCCTTTTTTTGTTTAATGTAAATTATACCGAGGTGCTGATCTCACACGAAAAGGCTTATAAAGGTTCAATAGAATTATTTATTTTATTTATTTATTATATTTTGATCCTAGAGCAAGTGCTCCCCTAAGGATCATAATAATCCAAGTACATAATGAGTACATATAAGGTTAATATAATATTAAATATAATATAAATGTAGTATTAATATAATATTAATTACAATTAATTAATGTAAAATTTTTAGAATCAAAATAATCGGTCGAGTTTTAAAAACAGAAAGAATTTTGATAATTATTAATTATAAATTCTTTTTAAGTATACTGAAAAAATTACTTGATTTAAAAGAAGTATATACTTATATATAGAATATATTCTTAATTGAAGAATAAAATTGATTAAAAAACTAGCAAAAATTTTATTTTTTGTTAAAAAGTTTATATTTTTCGTTCAATAACAAGTTTCTTCATTTAAAATATTAAAACAAAAACTTAATTCTAAAATTTCAACCACATTTTAACTTTAAATTTTATTAGTCCAATAATTTTGGTGCTTGGGTTTAAGATTTAAAACTTGGTATAGTAATTTTTGATGAATTTTTAGTATTAAAGAAGAATATCAGTAAAAAAGTTAGAAAATCATTAAGTTAGTTATTTTATTTATTCTTTTGACTATATTCTTCACTAAAAAACAAAAATATTTGATATATTTTTATTTTAATTAAAAATAATCAAGTGAAAAACTGCAATCTTGTATTAGTAAACATCTTAATTCAAAGATACTCTCTAAACATGAATTAGTGAAAATTCATGTTCAGAGAGTAATATTCTTCTTTGATTAAAAAAAAAGAATTAAAAAGTATTAGACAATGAAATTAGAATTCTTTTTTAATTAATGATATATTTTTTTTTTGGACCGATATGATAGTATATATGAATTAGAGTTTTGGCTTATTTTCGGACGAAGACTAGTGTTTTTCTAATTTAAGTCTAAAGATGGATCTTTCATCTTCCCTTTTGATCGAGAGCTATATTCTCTCTTCACAGTAATTTGATGGGACCCATCAAACTTTTTTAATGCTTCTGAATATTTTCAATTTATTTGAATTTCTTCCCTAATGAATTATCAACATTTTCAATCATTTTATCAACATTTTCAATCATTTTGAGTTCTTCTTTCAACTAACAGTTGATGATTCCTTTAATATTTTAAATAAATGTTTTTTAATAAAATGAACAACAGAATCGTTCGATAAAAAATAGCTAATCTTATTTATTTAAATATTTTAAAGTGAAGTATTAAATTATTAAAATTCTTAACTGATGAATTTTTTCTTTGTTTTATTTTCTTGATTTTTTTCATAAATTCCTTGAATTAATTCAACTTAAAAATTTCGAAACGAAAATAAAATTTAAATTCTATAATATTTTTTTTACACAGTAAAAAATTTTACGTCGAAAAATTTTGTGTTAAATATTTAACACTTTTTTGTGTTGTTTTAACAAAATAAATATTAAATTTACACATAAAACTGTTAATATATTTAACACAAAAATTTTTAACACTGTTTTTTGACGCAAAATTTTTCACTGTGTAAATCAAGAAGTTTATATTTCAATTTCCGTCAAAAAGTTTTCTTCTTCTGCATGAAATATTATTGTTTTTTCCTCAATATTAAATTTCTTCCGAAGAAATATAGATACTCTTTAAAATCAATGAATAAAATTTCGTTTTGCAGATCAAAAATGTCAACTAATTAATCTAAAAGCATAAAAAATTATTTGAAACCCTATAATTTAAGTTTCAACGCAGGATAACAAGTAGTTTATTGTTGGAGCCTCGATACAAAGTGTAAAATAGAAATGGAAAGCATATTTCTCATTAGCAGACACCCAGTAGATATAGACTGCGAATTTATTCGCGAATAGAGTGCGTTCCCACGAGCTAACTGCGTCAGTAAGAGTTAAAATGCATGCGAATCTGGTCCTCGAGGTCTCCATTTAGTTCGTACCTGTATTTTATAAATATATATATATATATAGCTGCATATTTATAAACATTTATTATGTTATTTGCGCATTATAGTGCTATGCAGCAAACATACAAACATACAAGGTACGTAGAAGAAAGAACAGCAACGTGTACCGCGAGTATAAAATATGGAACGAGAGCTATGCGTTAAAACCATGCACCAAAGGAATAGAAGGCAAACCCAAAGACGTACACGTGCTTTCTACATTGCTGGAAGCATCGCACGCTGTATTAATAATGTATATTACTGAGAGTGACGAGGCACAATAAAAAAAATTTATATGTGTATTTATTTTCAATCACGGAATAATTATAAATAATAGTCGAAAAAGCGTAGCACCAGTGCTGGATACATACACACCGTGTCTGCATATCAGACACCAGTGGACCAATAACGGTTTCACGAGGTTATATTCCAAACCGGTTTTTTTTCTTATATATATAGCTTCTTGTGATGTTGAGAAGAAATGCCGAAGCATTTCACAATGTATATAACCCACTATTGCTATTGGCTCCTACAATTTTGTTCTATAAATCTTTCTGACATGTCCGATCAAAGTTTTCTCAATTTTTTTACATTTATTTTAATTGTTGCTATTAATACCTTCAGGCGTATTGTAATTTATTGATTTTGTGGATTATACTGTCAAAAATTCTGAGTTAGTTCTCTTAATCCGTCAATTTTTTTTAATTTAATTCACTGAAGAGTTTAAGTTTATTTAAATCTTGAATTATTTTTATTTTATGCGTTAATTTGCATAAAAATAAGATATTTTTATCACAATTAGAGCTACCAAGTCAATAACAATCAATATGGCGGTGAAAAATGGATTTCTTCTTTACCGGCAAAATTAAATTTACTTTAAGCGGCTTCCGATATATGGCGTCGCAATTTTCTTCTAAGTAAAATCTGGAAAGAAGAAATTAATTAATATTTAGAATTATTTTGATTAAAAATGTTGTTTCTACACTGTTAATTACAGAATTATTAAAATTACTCGAGTATAAACACGGTGAAACTCTTATTCTTGTAAAATATTCAAGATACTTGGCTTAAGCCAAGGCACACAACCGAGTCTCGCGATTTAGTTAATTAAGACAAATTAAACATTAACTGATTACAATAGAAGATAAAAAATAAATAATTATACGGTTTATATACTAGCGACTAACAATTTTAATTATCGCTATAAAGATATCAATTTTTCACACAGCAACAAAAATGAAAGCATAACCTCGCATTGAAATACAAAATACAATGTCACAAAATATATAATGCCTGGGTAATTAATCAAGATATTAAGTTTAATTTCAATGGAAATATTTTTTTACTACGTTTTTTTATTTCTTCTCAATCTTGAGCAACTTCAATAAATTATTTTTATATTTTTAGTAGCAAATATATAATTAAATTTTATGGTTTTTCATAAAACTGCCTTTAAAATTTATGATTAATAATGTGAAAAAAAAAAAAAAACTTGGTAATTTATATCAGCAAAAAATTATTAATCCAGAAAAGTATTACTTATTTCTTCATAAAAAAAAATTCGACGTATTCTCATCTGTCAATAATTAAATCCACACTAAAATAAAAATTCATAAACTAAGAAAATAATTTTAAAGAGATCTATTGTCTTGAATAAAGATGAAAAATTCTTGAATCAATCAAAATTTATTTAAACTAAAAAATTTTTCTTAGTTTAAAAATTTTTTAACTCAAATCAAGAAGATAAATTTCTTCAAAATTATTTATTTAATTCAAATAAATTTTTTTTGTGTAAGAATTTTATTAATAAGCTTCAATATTAGCAATTAAAATTATGACAATTTTTGAGACTCAGAGCAACTCAGTAGATCTGCGCAAACAAAGTGCGCATTTTTTCTAACCTGTATCTGAAAAGAAGAAGAAATATAATATTTAATACTTGATATTTTTTACTAAAAATTCCTTAAATTATTTATAATTATATTTACTAGAGAAAAATAATCTCAGAAAAGTATCTTTAGAAAAATGTAAAAGAGGAGCTAGAAGAGCGGTATTAGAATGATTACTAGATTCAAAAAATTTTTGTAACAAATAAGTTATGTTAAAAAAAAATTAGAAAAAAAATTGACATGTAGAAATTTTTAAAAATCAAAAATCCAATTTTTCCAAAATAATTTTTTAGAACAAATTTATTTGTTAATAATGTAAGTTTCTGCAGAAAGAATCAGCTAAATTCACTTAGCCATTGATTTTTGTTTTTTGCTATTTTATAAATGACTAAATTTATACTTATTGAAATTTCCATTTCACTAATTTCATTAATATCATTTGTTATTAATGAATAATAGTAATATTATTTCCAGTAATATTAAAAAAAAATTTTAATTAATGACAACGATTGTAGAATTACATATATTCTTATGCCTATGATATATTTGATCAATGAGATTCCAAATAAATTAGATCCACCTATATTTTATCTCAATTTTATATTAAGATTATTATTGTTGTTTATCATTTTGTCTATGTATTTTTCATCTAAAATTCACACTTCATAGATCATATTATATATTACATCCAAAACAAATAAACAAAAATAATTAACTTGATTAAAGTAAAATTTTTTTATTCAACTGAACCTGAAACTAAAAAAAGTATATTAAAATCCTTGAAACCTAAAATTACCTCTCTAAACAATCCAATTTAAATTTTAAATTTCGTTATTCTATAACCCACTTAAACCATAATAATTGTAAAACAAATGATAATGATTCACCTTACATTGGTTGCAGAGTAATAACATCGCAACTTCAAGGATGCCGTGGGCGATCGGGCTTGAAGATTCCCGTCACACTTGAGGGCCCAGGAGTTGAAACCTCCAACCAACCAACCAACCAACCAACCAACCAACCAACCAACCAACCACCACAACCCAAAACCTTACACATCAAGTGCTCGAAAGGCAAGGCCGGTCCAAGGATATGGACCTCACGGAGGCGTTCCCAGGCGGAAGCGACGCCGCGGACGATCTCGGCAAGACGGACTTCTTCGACTTCGTGGTATCCCCGCTCTCAGCAGCGCCGTCGCACTGCAGCGGAACCATCGACGACGACACGGTGAACTATCTCCAGCACCGCCAGTCCCGTCGGATGTACCTCCAAGACGGCAGAAGAGACGACGACGGCCGCGAAATCCACTCGACGTCAACCTCCTTCATCAAGCAGGAGACCAACAACAACACTCTAACAGCTCTCCCTCCAGTTTCCACCATCACCGGCTCGCTGAACCACCATGTCCGGAACCACTGCATCCAGAGCAGCGAGATCCCCATGGAGGCCGACTGCGATTACTGGGGAACCACCGACGACGTCAAAGACGGCCAGCAAACCTGCAACATTCTCCTAGAAGACCTCAACAAATATTGTTGGACCACTCATGCTAACCCTCAGTGCCGGGACGACGTTAACGACACCGAGGGTCACCACCAGAACCCTCACCACAGAGTTTCTGTTGGAAATGACCGACACCAGAACACGGATGGCGCCATTTACACGCTCACCGTGCTAAATAACGAAACTAACTCTATGGACGGTCTTGATTGTTGCAAGAGTCCTGTAGCTTCCAACAACGATTCTTGGACTCTCCGGCCAAATTTGGACCTGGACGCAATTCTTAACCTTGAGTCAAGTCACCCTGATGCAGATTCCGTCCACGATGTCCAGAATTCTGCGGAAATTGCCAGAAATAACGAAAGGTATCATATTATTTCAACGACGCCTTCTTCCCAATACGCTACTGATGACAGTGGATTCGTCGAAAGTAAGGAACTCTGTCGGCAGAATAATAATAACAATAATAATACCAATAATAATAATAACAATAATAATAATAATAATAATAATAATAATAATAATAATACAAGTAATAATAACAATAATGATAATACAAATAATAATAATAATACTAACGCAGGAGACAACAACAACGATTGGAAGCTGTCTGATCAGAATCACCTCCAAGAAGTTAGCGGCGATTCTGCGGAAAGTCTGCTGAGGAACGCGCTCCAGGGTAAATTATACTCGGGACCGACGCAGATAACTCTAGCATCTTCGACGAAGTCCACGGGGATTGCAGTGTCGCTGTCGACGGGTTCTAATGTGATAAAACAGGAACCCCAGGACGAGTCGATGCATGGCTGTACTGAGGAAGATTTGCTGTTGTCTCAATTGGAGACGACAACTTACCGTCCGGGGGACTATGAGAAGCTCAAGAGTATTGCTAATGAGGTGGTGGAGAATTATTGCAACCTAGAACCGGTTTGCAATGTTTCGGGAACTACCACGTTGATGTACACGCTGGATCCTACCAGTGGAAGCTTGGGAACGATTACTCTCCCGGCGGAACTGGGCCAGGTTGGAACGGTCACTGTGGTGACTGCAGCGCCACAGGAACTGACAGATCAGACTGCGGCCAGGTCTGATGACTCTGGGGGTCAGATCCAGGTGGTGACTGTTAATAATAGGCCGATGATTAGTAATTCGACGACGACGACGACGACTACTGCCAAGCCGGCGAAGAAATACTCGAGGAAGAACAACAGGAACGCCGCTAATGCCAACAGCGCAGCCGCGGGAGCTAATGGTAGTGTTGACAGTGGGAACCAGAGTGCGCCTGGTAGCTTGCCCAGTGCTACCGTTCAGAGGAAAGAGAGGTCGCTTCATTACTGTAACATTTGCCATAAGGGTTTCAAGGATAAATATAGCGTTAATGTTCACATTAGGACTCACACTGGAGAGAAACCCTTTGCTTGCTCGCTGTGTGGAAAGAGTTTCAGGCAGAAAGCTCATCTTGCTAAACACTACCAGACTCATGTCACTCAGAAGCCTAATGTGGGCAATGGCACCACGACTTCTGGGTCTAATTCTTCTGATAAGGGGAGCCATGGTAATGATTGATACTGCGGTTTGCAGCCCTTTTAGCTAGTTTTTTAGGACAATTTCTTTTTGTTAAGCATTTTTGTTTTTTATTTATGTATTGTTTGAGGAGGTTTATGCTCTCTATTTTTTTATTGTGACGGCTGGGCTAAAGAGTGGAAAATTAGTTTTGTCGTTTTTTTTTTTTTGGATTTTATTTTTTTGGAGGGATAATTTTTTTATACGGCTCAAAATTAATTATTTTTTTTTAATTTATAGATTATAAAATTATGAGAATTTTTAAATATTTAAAATTTAAACTTTGAAGAGTACAAAAATATTTTTTTTTTACAAAATAGATGTGAAATTTTTTTTCGACTGAGATAAATCTTTGAAATAATAAAAAAAATTTTTTTTTTGAAAAATTTTAAGTACATTATTTTGATAGTTAAGGTAAAAGCTCCAATTATTGACAGGGGTCTAAATATTGACACCCTAAATTATTTTTGAATATATTTAACTATCTGTAATAAGAATAACTATCATATAAATTTTTATTAAATTCTAATTAATTAAAAAATTGGAAAAAATTACTGTCAATTCAAAATATTAAATATTAATTATTAAAAAAAAATTAAGTTCATCAAACCAGCTTACAAGCGTCTATTTTCTTAATAACTTTGGTTAGAAAAGCATTTTTTTAATTACCGGGTTTTAATTAATTTCTTCATTTAATTATATGATCTTTTTTTTTTAATTAATAATATATGAAAAATTAATAACATTTAATAGTTTGAACTCTTCTGATTCAATAAATTTTTTTTTATATCTTTAATGGTGATTAATCATTTATTGAAATTATTATTAATAAACTTAAATAATAAGTTTCAATAAATAAAAATAAGCAGTTGATTCGACCGCATTAGTATAGGTGTCAATAATTGGATCTAAGGTATTTCAATAATTAGATCAATCAGTTTTTTAACCTGTCAATAATTGGTGTATCCGGATATTTTTTAAATATGAAAAAAATTTGATTTTTTAATATTTATAAAGGGATTTTAAAAAAGATTTTTAATAAGAATTGTAAAATAAATACAGAACTAATAATTAAAAAAATAAAAATTTCCAAATTTTAAATTATAAAAATTAAATTTCCAAAACTCATTTAGTCGAGCACCGTATTGTGATGATAAACTGATAAAGGTTTATCAAATCATTCTTGTTAAAATGCACACGTTCATCAAACACACTAGTGGTCTCAGATACATTTTTCTACCGAATTAGTTTTTTTATTGATTAATATTAATATTGTTAGAATTAAGAAATTTTTATTCTTTGTTATAATATTAAGTTATAAATTATATATGAATTTTGTTGATATAAGTATTAATCACAGGTTCACTTAGTGTAAATTAATTAGTTAAAGTATTTTGGGGCAATAATTAGATCATGTGTTTTCCTTTTTTTAATTATATAAATAAATGATTTATATTGTTATTTAAGTAATTAGTAGCATGATCTGTGATTTAGATACATACTCATAGTTGGGTTATGAAAAATGATAATTTATCGCTAATCACTCTTTTTGATAGTTCATAATAACTTCTCTTGATAAAAAATTTTTTTTCAAATAATTGAGACTTTTAATTAATAATTAATCCAAGTAATTTATAAAATTCAAATAATTAAAATCAAATTATACAAAAAAAAAAATATTTCTGATTAAAAAAATTTTAATTTATAAAACATTTTTTTTTATTAAAAAAAATTTTAATTACGATAAAAAATTCAATCGCTCAATCTGTGCATATGGATAAAAATAAAATAATTTAATGTAAAAAATGTAATATTTAAATTGTGAGATAATATTCAATTTTTCAATGCTGTTTACAAAACGCCCTTGGAGATCCACAATACTCATTACATCGTATGTTAATATAATAAGGCCGCTTATGATGCACAAATTATTTTCACGACCGTGAAAATTTTAATCTAATTGCTTCTTCTTCTTTAATAATAAATAAATAAATAAAAAATAATTATTTCTTCTCTAGATAAAAAATAACAATTAAAACTTTATTTTATTTAAATCTTAAATTGTACTTAATAATTATCATAATTTAATTAATAATATTTTAATTGTTAATTACCTGAAATGTGTGTTTGCAAGCGTGTGTAACTGTTCAATTGTCACACGAACAATTAATCGGATCTCGAAATTGTTTATTTATTTCTTTTTATCTTTATTTTATTATTATAATTAATATGATTAATTATTATTATTAGGTGATAGTAATTACTTGCATTTAAATTAATTGACATTTAAATAAATTCCAAAAGGATTCGACCGATTAATACTCATGGCTTTTATACTTTTTATAATAATAATAATAATTATAATTAATATAATAATAATTGTTGAGGTAATCCAACTTTTATAACTAAAATTTTATTTTATAAATTATTATATATTTTAAAAAAATATGTAATAATAACTTAATGAAAAAATAAGTGATAATTGTATTGAATTGTACATTTTATAGAAAATTTTTTACAAGTTACCATACACGATTTCGTTTTTGTTTTATTAGATTTTAAAAAGTAAATTTATAGATTTATATTTTAATATATTTTATTATTAAAAATAATTATTAACAAAAGACAATAATACTCAAAGGCCTGAACAAAACCAGTATGGAATGATATTAACGTGACAATAAAATATTAATGACTGAATGATATTAATGTTAATGAATAAATGAAATAAAAAATAATTTTTTTTACTGTATGTCGGCCTATTACAGTACAAATAAATACCGAAATCATTTTCAATGATTGAAATATGAAAAATAATAAAATAATTTTATTATTAAATAAATAAAAAAAAATTTATATTGTTGTGAATTACACAATGTTATGTTTAACAATTTCGTGTATATATATATATATATATATATATATATATATATATATATATATATTTATATTAATTTTAGATTAATTAACAGTGTGCATAAATTATTATTTCTAAAATTATAAATTTAAAAATTAGCTCTAGCTCGGGTGTACAGTGTTTTGATAATTATTTTAAAAATTTGTAATATTTAATTAAAATTTTGTTATTTTTTATTAAAGCCATCGCTTTATTTACTAACATGTAATTTTAAAAATGAAATATGTTTTTTTCTCAGTTACTATTATTATTATTTCAATAATTATATTTTAGTTTGAAATTCATTGCTATTTTAATTATAATTATTTTTATTATTATTACAATTGATATTAATTTTTATATGACTATTGTAGATAGCGAAAAAGTATTTATGTGTAAAGTCGTTATGGTGAGCACGTCGAAAGTTCATCGGATTGTGATTCGTATAAGAGACGATATCAAATATGATCGTTGATCGTGAAGCCATTGGTGAGAGTTTACTGTTTTTTTTTTTTTATTTCTTTTTTATCATTATGTACGACTATTATTATTATTAATTAGTATTATTCATATTTTTAATTATTAATTTAAACTTAATCACTATTGAATTTTTATTGAAAGATTTTTTTTTAAATAAAGAATTTATTATACGTATTTTTATTTTATTTCTTCATTATAATTTATTATCTTGTTTATTTATTACCACAAAATATAATCTTCCTTTATATGGGTGATTCTCTGTAAGGATATTTTTTGCTGACTCAGGCATTTTTTTTTAGAAAAATTAATTTGTTACTAAAAAAAATTTATTACGAAAGTAAAAAAACATTTTTATTTGGAGCATTGAAAACTAAAATGAAATAAAGCAAAAATTAAATCGGCTGTTTATTTATTATGATTAAGCTGATAGTTTTGTAGCCCTTGTTAATTTTTTTTCTAATTAAATCAAAAATAATTTGGTCGGACAGATTTGTACAGATTTAAGACGTCCTTACAGAGAATCACCCATATATAATATATATATATATATATATAAAATTGATGTGGGTACTCAAATGACAGGTCCCGATGAATGTAACTCCAGAATGAGCTTATATCGTTAAAAATATCATCAGTAAAAAAAATACAAAGTCATTTCTTAATTATTGAAATTGAAATTTTTTTAAATATAAACTCAGGTGATATTTAATCCGAAATAATTTAAATAAAAAAATTTAATATATTGTATGCTTAAAAAAAAACAACTAATTATTATTCAATGAAATAATTTATTATACCAGTTAATCCACATTAATTTAATGACAAAGCAAACCATACCAAGAAGAATATACAATATTTATATTTATATAATATAATTTCATATATATCTCATTACAATAAACTTTTGTTCCATTCATAAATTCATAAATTCATAAATCCACGCTGAAAAAAAAAATTTAATATTAATCTTTATAATTAATTTTATTCTTTGTCGTATACCAGCAGCAAAAGATCCAAATCTGGTGCAAAAAATTATTAATATAGTACACTGTCGCGAATACTCGCATATATAAATATGTATAGATATATATTCTTTAGAAGGCTCAACAGTGCTAAGTAAAATAGGCATAGCAGTAGTGTATAAGTCTCGTGTAAGAAGAATATTGTCAGAGGACGAGTTTTTTTTTTTTTTTAATGTATCATTTGCTATGACATTAAAGTTAGCAGTAATTTGATAATTTTTTTATTTTTTTTTAACAAAAAAATTTGTTCCAAAAAATTATTTTTAAAAAATTGCATTTATAATTTTTCAAATTTTTTTTTTTTTTGCCATAATTTATTTATTAAAAAAAATTATTAAATATCTGCTAAATTAATTATCATTTATTTGCTCCCTAATCCAATGATTTAAATACTTGATACATTTTTTTTATTATTATTATTAATATAATAATTATAATTATTACTATTTGTTATAAAATTTATAACACATAGTAACAATTTTTTAGCCATACTCATGTTTAGTTATTGTTGATACGCTTGTTCATTTGAACTCGAATAAATTTATCCGTTCGACCTTTGTCTTGTTTACGATGCGTGCATTTACGTGCAGTGTAACAGTGAAGACACTGATTATGATGATGCTGATTGATGATAGTAGAACAAGTGATCCAATCTCTCAAGATCATTATTGATAAGTAAGAATGCGAGTTATCATTGTTATTGTTTATGTCACACTGCTGATTCAAAGGCCAACGATCAGTTAAGCTCTATGACAAGAGCTTCTCCTCGGGGATGGTTGGGCTGGTAGCCACTGATGGGATTCCTGATGCTCGTCTTGTTGCTTCGGACTCTCGCAGGGCTTCATCAAAGCTCTGGGTCGAGTTTGATCTTGATGGTGTTACTTTAGTCTATATTGGATAAATTTTTATTAGCTTTAGTTTATCAAATTAAATATAGTTTACTTATATATAGTGAAATTTAAGTTGATTAATTATTCAATATTTGGTATGAAGAAAATTACTTTAAGAGTTTTGGTATTGTAATGAGTTATAAGCTAAAAAATTATACGGTAAAGTTATTAAAAATTTAAAGGTATAGATTACGACTTAGACTCTCATTAAAAAATCAATTTTCGTTGTTATGGATTATTTTTTATTCAACAAGAGCGGCAATTAGACTTCTTTTGATTGAAAGAAAAATTAATGTAATGGTTAAAACTTTGAAATTTTTGATATTAAAATTTTTAGACAAAAAATTTATATATGCTGTGTAAAACACAAAATAAATAATCAAATTTTATTATAATTAAGGCCGAAATTTTTGCCGCAGTTTTAAAATAAATAAATAAATATTACGGCGAAAATATTGGTCCTATAAAAAAAATTTTTCAAAATTTGATTTTATGAAAAAAACATTTCTTATGATTTTTTTAAAAAACCAATATTTTTGCTATTATTTCAAAATTAAAATTCATCAAATTTTGTGTAATTATTTACAAGTGGAGTTAACCCCATTTTGGGCCATAAACTAGGTAAAAAATTAACATTTTCAATTTTTTTTTTCTGCGCATTTATGATAAAAAATGTCGTGAAAGAAAAAGATAAAGATTCCAATGGCTTTTTTGCCTTGAAAAGTTGGAAAAAATTTCTATTTTATCTTTTTTTAATGTTTTTGATATATTTTTTTTTTTTAAAATACATAAAAAGAAACAATTAAAAAAAAAAAAGTTGAATATTACAATTTTCTAAAAAATTTATAAATTTTTTTAAAAATTTGTTAAAGTTGTGATAATCAAATTTTTTTTTTAAATTGTTTCTTTTTTTTTATATATATTTTTCAAAAAAAAAATATATCAATAAAATCGAATAGAAATTTCGTTCAAAAAAACGAAAATTAAAATGGTTGACCTCACTTGTAAATATTTATCAAATTTTGTGATAATTGTGAATTTTACTTTTGAAATTACGCTGAAATTATTGATTCTAAAGAAAGAATACAAAGATCATTTTTTTTGTAAAATTAAACTTTTGCCATAATATCAAAAATTGAAATCAGTCACTATAAATTATAATTTTGAATTTGCGCTAATTATAATTAATTAATCATATGACCTTGAAAATTTACACATCAAGATAAACCATTTGATACTAAATTTAACTAAAAAAATGTATTTTATCATATAAATACCCCGGTAATAATTTTTCTTACTATCTTAATTATAATGATTATTATCAAAATACCTTAACATTTTCATATGCGCTACCAACACGTTCTTCAAGTGAGCGAAAACTATCAGAATTACGCATCTGACCCAACTTCATGGTAATCCCGCTGCCAAAGCCACCCAAGAAACTTTGGGTCATGCCCGCAGCTTGCTTGCAAACGGATTCCGTTTTCTGAAATCTAATTTCCAAAACACATTAATTTCACAGTACCTTAATTAAAAAACACACATCCATTTATAAAAAAAAAATTTCATGTAATAAAAATAACAACATACAAGAAAATACTAAAAGTACAAGTTAGTGTACAAATTAACACGCGAATAATTCTTCTCTTGTACTTACAAACTGTTTTCGGAGACGGCCCTCTTGACATGACCAAGTTTCTCACCAATGTTCTGATAACTAAATGACACCCAACCAAAAGTGATAAAAAAAAAAAAAAGTAGCAAAAAAACATATTTGTATATGAATGATGCAGTGGTTATTACAATTACATTACGATGAATTTTAATGAGTTACCAAATGAGTAAAAATACTAATTAAATAATAAATGATAACTGATAATTAATAAAAATAACTATTTACATAAGTATAAAAATAAAATCAGTAAAAACTTTCTACCCAATTCAACTAATAGCCGACCAGAGCATCCTGATTCTTTAATAATTAACAATTATTTCAAATATATTACGTACACATTGCTCTCCTTGACGTTACGGAGTCCTTGATTTACATCTTCGGTGATGTCTTTCCACACACTGATGCCGAGTTTTCGTTTTAATTCTTGCGATACTCGTACTTTGCTGGCCAACACATGTCTCAATGTTTGAATTTCTTCTTCAACCTATTGAATAAAATTAAAAAAAATTAATAAAAAATTTCTAACATTTAAATTTATTAATAAAAAATATTTAATAGTAAAAAATAACCTTGGCTAGTTCAGTTCTCCACTCAGCTTTTTGACGCTCCTGTTCTTCAAATGATAATCCAGCTAGCTCATTCGCGACATTGTCCGCCGATGGAGAAAGAGAACCAGAATGTAGGGCATCCTCACCTAAAAATACAAAAGAGAATAATTAAAATAAAAATTTAGATTTTTTATACCTCATTAATATATCCTGAGTATCATAAAAAATAAAGAAAAAGTAATGATTAATTAATTATTATTAATAGTTTTCATTATTATTGATTTATTTATTTGTAAAGAAACGCCTTCGGTAATTCAAAATAATATGCTACATTTTTATAAGTAGAATGTTTAGTAATTTTTATATAAAATAAATAGCATCTGTAAAAAGAAGATGAGTAGATTTAAGAAACTTAAGAGTTTTGAGAAATTTTTTAACAAATTTGAAAGAAGAAAAAAACAAAGCGAAAAAAAGAAATTAGTAATTGATAATTGATAATCACAAATTGATAGTTTATAATAACTATTTGTACACCTGGAATGCTTTTATTTTAGAATCACCCTTTTTGCTTATTATTATTATTATTTTTTTCTAGTTTTTTATTTCTTTAGTTATTTGTTCATTTTTTACCAAGCACACTCTGTCATATTTTATATTATGAAAATAAAGTTAGCCGACATTTCAAAATTTTTAGAAAGTTATTATTGAAAAAATTTCAATTAAACAATTAAAAAAAAAATTTCACATGTAACAAAACTTGAAAAACTATAAGTGCAATTTTTTAGAAATATCTTTTTAGTTGTAATTTAATAAATAAAAAAAATCAAAATTTTTTAAACGTCTGCTAACTTTAGTGTCATAATATTTTATATAAATAAATTACATTATTATTAATTAATATCCAAATACTGTTAAAATATCTATGTAGATCTGTGTATATTCTTATATGTACTTTTTACTCTTATATTATTATATTTTTTGCCATTCAGCCATTGCCTTGGCATTTAAATAAAATAAATAAATATAAATAGTGATTAAATTCAACGAAAAACTAGGACCTTTTAAGCGCTCAAAAAAAAGTCCTTTTCCCTGAAGTTTTTCAAAATAAGACTTAGTCATCTCTTTAAAAATCACTCGAACCGATCTCAATTTACGTAATTTTTTTTTCGCGGCATTGTTACTGTCATTACTGCAATTAGCATCTAGATCTTGCGAAAAATCAACGTCATTAACAAGAATCTCGTCTAGATAAATATTATCGTCTTTCCAGCAGTGAACAACAATTTCTTCGCTGTCATTGAACAGATCATTGTCAATATCATCAAAACTCGGAGTATCAGCAAAGCTCGAATAATACACATCTTCCTCATACTCAAGGGAATCGAACTCACGTTCATTTTCACTCGGACAATCATCACCGTGTTCATTGCAAACTTTGCTTCTAGAATTATTATCTTTACCCTTGACGGAATTAATATCGGAATTTTTATCACCGTCTCTAGTATCTTCTTTCATTGTCATCTAACGGGTTATTAAATACTTATTACCGCTCATTTAACTTTTTGAACTGTTCACTGTACAGTTACTCTCCTCATATCGTATCACATTTATCACTATTTTATTACTCGCTGAAGAATATGTGATTTATTTTATTTATTTTACAGGAAGATGTAACAGAGTAGTTTCAAGTTTAAGGTATCGGTGTCGATCTTCCGAAGAGATACATTAATATCAGCAGTAATAATTGTTTTTTTTTTTAAACAAATTATAACACTTTTTATATAAATACACTGGTGAAACAGCTGTAGACAATTGTTGTCGATTTCTCTTTTGTACTGTTAGTACTAGCGATGTAGCGATCGTATTTAGTTTCCGATTTCGAACAACGATGGCGTAAGATTCGTTTACCTGCACACCTTGAGTATAAAAAAAATATAATAATAATAATTATAATAGAAATAAAAAATAAGATATACAAAACGGTAAAATAGTAGTCGGTAAAATAAGATGATAAAAATAAAAAAATTAAGTGAAAGGCGTCAATATAATGTGAATTATTTTTTGTAGTTGTTGCGGTTTTATGATTCATCTTGTAAAAGTTTTTTAATAAAATTATATTTTTTATAACGATTTCTCTGAACTCTTAAAAAACTCTGCATTAAAATAATTTTAATTATTATAATTATTATTGTGATAAAGTAGAAGATATAATGCCGGAAACTGTAATAAAAATATGTAAATATATACATTAGTATTATTTTGTTTATATTAATTAATTTTTTAATTGATAACTTGGAATTTAAATTATAAATTAAAGATAAGCATGGCGTGAGTCATATTCTGAAATGATTGGACCGATAAAATTAATGAGGAAATTACAAATTACGGAAAAGTTTTTTTTTGTTAGACAGGTTAGAGCGGATTTTAAATCAAGAAGTTGATTGTTGTTGATTCAATACATGACGTTGAATATTCTGGTGAATAAAAATATTAATTAATGTTATTGTTATTTTAAGAATCAATTAAATTCAAATTAATTGGGAGGTATAAGAATGTTTTAATATTAAATGTTATCTCACCTGTTGGGACAGTGTTCATTTTTTTAGGTGTGTATTTGTCAACTGATAGGAACTGATTTTTTACTCTTATCAATAATATATTTTACTGGGTAGTTGTTAACACACTGTTATTAAATAGCACGTTATTTTCTTGACCAACACAACTATTATTTGACGTGTTATCAATACGGAGTGAGAAATGACGTGTTCTTTGCAAACTGTCAACTCTATGTACTTTACTGCTGGATTTAATCGATGCCTAATGCCTATATTCCACGCGTATGTATATATGTATGTAAATATATGTATTATGTCGCGTTTGAGAGTTTTGAGTACTGCTTGTTGAAAATCTATCTCAGATATATATAGATATATTGTGTTTTTGTAAACGTGTGTAGAGTCGGATTTCAGACACTTGTCGCCATCTCGCGGTTGTAAGTTTTAGATGGATTGATAAATTGTCGGCTGAAAAAAGAAGAAAATCTAGAGAAAATCGCGCGGTAAATTTTTATAGAAATTTAGAAAATTCTTCGAAAAGAATTAGAAAAGAAGATAAGTACAAAAAAGTGCATTTTTTTATAATTTATTATTAAAAAAAATTTAAAAAGATGTCAAATTCTTGCTATTTTTAGTCCCGCCTGGTTTCTCATATTTTAGTTTTCTATAAAATTTAATAATACTGAAATCAGCTGACATCTGACAATTTTTTTGGTTTTTATAAAAAAATAAATATTATTCAAAAGTTTGCACTTGTAATTTTTAGATTTAGAATTTTTTTATTAAAATTTTTCATAACACTAAAGTTAGCCGACGTTTTTAATTTTTTGATTTTTTTTAATTATTAAATGAGAACTAAAAAATATTTTTAAAAAATTGCACTTAAAGTTTTTTTACAAATGAAAATTTTTTTTTTTGTTATTTTGCAATAATTTTTTTAACAAAAAAAAGTTCTAAAAATTTTTAAATGTCGGCTAACTTGATTTTTATAAATTTTTCATAGATATTTAGTTGTTGAAAAAATCCGAAAAATTAACAGATGTCAATTAATTTTAGTATTATAAAATTTACATCAAAGACATAATAGTATAAAAAATTAAAAAACTCTTTGATAAAAGACCAACCTAAACAAGTAGAAAATAATTATGATACTAAAGTTAGCTGCCAACTGTCAATTTTTTTAACAAATCTTTTTCATTATAATTTAATTGTTATAAAAATGTAAAGAATTGTTAGATGTCTGTTGATTTCAGTATCATTGAGATTGAAATAAGAATAGTGATAAAGAAATTTTAATTTTAATGTAAAAAAGCGTGAGGTGCTTTCTAAAATATTTTCATAACTCTATTTTTACCAATATCTGTCAATAAAATATTTATATCCATTGACATTAAGCACTCGACACTTTTTTACGATAAAATCAATTTTTTTGTTAATCACTCTATTTTTATTTTCAACTCTTTGAAAATTATTTTCTACTTTTTAGTTTGATTGACCGTCAAAGTTTGAATTTTACTTTTTCAAACTATAATTTTTTTTTATTATAAAATGTAGGAAATTCCCTGGTTAATCCTACCCTTAATCAAAAGCTTGTCTCAAAGATTAAGCTATGCATGTTTCAGTACACAAGTTACTACTTGGCTGAAGATCCTGGTCAGGAAGTCAGGATAATTGGACAAACTTATTAAATAATAATTGGTTTTCAATAAAAAAAATATTTCAAATGCATAAACTAATTTTTATTGCGATGTACAAGCTGTATGTTGATGTTCTCGACTTAAAATTTCGTATGACAGATTATTTATTAATTGATATTTATTTTTCATTCCAGCAATGTTTTTGCTGCACTATACTACTACATATTGCTACTGTTTACATTATCTTCCAGTTTATTTTTTTTTCTTTGAAATGGTAATGAAGCCTACGAACACACAATGGCTAATTCCCTGGTCTAATTTCTTCTAAAGTGTGTCAAGCTAGTATTTATTTTTTTATTCATTTGTACACCATCTAATGGTAAATTTATAAAAAAAAAAAAAAAAAAAAAAAAAAAAAAACATTTAAAACAATAGCTCTACAGAATCGGCTCGTTCATTAAACAAGCTGTGCTAAAAATAATTCATTGAAAAGCGATAAAACTTTACATTTTTTCCACTATCCAAAATCAATAAAAATTATTTCTTCCACGCCTTTTGCAAATAAAATTCAACTAAATTAACGTACCATCGCTTTTCTTCCGGAATTTAAAACAATTTTACAAACCATAATCTATTAATAAATATGTTTTTTTATTATTCACTGACTCTAAGCAGTCTATTGGCACATTAAGTGTCGAATAAAAAGTTTTGTAGGAAACAAATACTAATTTGTTTAGTTCGGAAGCTGTCTAGTATAAATAATTAAAAAATCCATACCCCTAAACATCGCATCGCTTTAAAATTTCGAGTAATCGTACACATTACTAATATTTGTATACATTTTTAGATATTATTTTTTCGTTAAATAAAATAGACAATTTTTACTTATATAATTTGTCGCAGTTTTTTTTTTTTTTTTTTTCAAAATTTAATTAAATAATTCAATACTTAGTCAGTTTTTTTTAGATATTTGTTTTACGTATAGACTCTCGTATCTAAATACAGCGCTTAATATCCCAGAAAATTAATAAAATTATTTATATATTTATAATTTGTTGTTTACTTTTATAGATTAATTTGAGTGTCAGGTATCATATAGGCATCACAACTATATATCGCGTGTGGACGAATATATGTACTAATGAAATGACACTACGATTGTGACACCGCAGTGATCACAGTCACGCAATAAACAGTCAGTGACTTTACTTAATCAATTATTAATAATTAATAATCATCCAATATATTATAATTAATTACAATAAATAATAATCATTTACTCTTCACTCTCTTATCGCCCGTAACATATTTATACTCATTAGCATTACTCAACATCAAATAGAGTCCTCTGCTAATAGTTTGTATTTCTTCTTTAAAATTTACATTTAATTAACTGAATAAATTCAATCACTTTTCACAAAAATTTACACAATTTAACTCAACATTATTTTTCTAATTGTAAATATCCATATACATTTATGTATTTATATTATTTATATATATTTTATTTAATTTACTTTTTTTTTTAGCTACCAGAATACAAGTCACCTAAATACGAGAGTTGAAGGTACGAGTCACACCGGCCATAAATTATACAACCTCAAACGTAATTCTGTATCGAACAATATTTTACAAACCAGATAGGAATCTAAAAAATATCTTCGATGTCTGAAAATTTGCGGTCCCAGTACCCGCCGCGATACAGCCAGTCATCTAAACCAGTATAGGTGTTCACTCCTGATTGGAACCACCTGGGTTCCGGTTCTGGAGCTTTTTTGTGCTTTTTAGACTTCTTGCTATCCCGCTGCTTCTCTTCGAGTCTCACTTTCTCAGCAGCCGCGCCATCCTGGTCTCCGTTTTCCAGTTTTCGGATGTCTGGCCTCAACCTTGAGTCAGTTGGACATATCTTCTGGCTTAAACTAGCGTCCAGTTCATTCAGAGCCATGGCAAATTGGGTAAATTGGTAATACTGTAAATGGTAAAAGAAAACTTTTATAATAATTATTTTTAACTGAAAAAAAAATTGACGTCAATCAAGATAAAAATTCTTCAACTAAGAAATAGTTTTATTGTCTTAAATCAAGACAAAAAATTCTTTAATGAAGTAAAATTTACTTAAATCAATAAAAATTTTTTAACTTAAGAATTTTTCTACTCAAATAAAGAAAATGAAGTTCTTCAAAATTATTTACTTGATTTAATTTAATTTTTGGTAATTATTTACAAGTGGGGTCCACCATTTTCATTTTCATTTTTTTGAACGAAATTTCTATTTGATTTTATTGATATATTTTTTTTTTAAATACCTATATAAAAAAATGAACAATTAAAAAAAAAAGTTGATTATCACAATTTTAATAAATTTTTTAAAAAATTGTGATATTCAACTTTTTCTTTTTTAAATTGTTCAGTTTTTTATGTACTTTTCAAAAAAATATATATCAAAAAAATATAAAATAGAAATTTTATCCAAAAACATGAGCCAAAATTTTTTCCAACTTTTGAAGGCAAA